CAAGGGTCCAGAGGCACCCCACTCTGACAGCAAGTCTCCTGTCCCACCAGCTCTCTCTCCCTGTGGGCCAGCATGTGTACCAGCTGCCTTGCCTGGTGGGCTGGGAATCCCACTGTGCCACCCCACATTGGCCTCTTGGTTCTGCTGCCCCAGGATGGACTCTGCTGTATGTGCCTTCACCTCTCACCACCTTGCACCATCTTCAAGGGCTACGGTTCGCCATGTAATAGCTCTCTCTCTCTCTTGGGTCTAGCAGGTTCTAAGCTCAGGGACCCTAGGCCCAAAGGACATGCTCTGTCCCTAGTTCTTCTTGATGCCACTAAGGTCCCCCCTTTGACCCCTGGGATTGGTTCCTTTGAAGTCTGGTGGGAGGGGAAAAAAATGGACCAATCCTCTGCAAGGATTCCATGCACCCGATTTGCATGAACAGATTGTCCAGTCTTTACAAGAGCTTTACACAGCATCTTTGCACACTTCCACCTGACCATTTTGTGGGTGTTGTAAGACCATGTTGAGAAGAACCATATAGAAGAGTTCATTGTCCTGCCAGATACATATATACACATACACACATACATATGTGTGTATGTGTATATGTGGAATTACTGTTGTTGAGTGGAATTGAGTTGATTTGAACTCACAGTGACCCCAGGTGACAGAGTAGAACTGCCCACTGGGTTTTCTATGTGCAATCGATATGAGGTCACACGGCCAAGGCTTTCTTCCATGGAACCTCTAGGTAGGTCACTCTGTACCTGTACCACAAGGCTCCTGGGTAGACGTCAACCCAAATCAAACCATCAAGCCTGTTCTGACTCGGAGCGAACCCATCAGACAGAGAGGGCTGCTCCTTTGAGCTTCAGAGACTGCAAATCTTCATACGAGCAGAGCCTCATTTTCTCCTGCAGAGCAGCTGATGGGTTTGAACCCACAACCTTGCAGTTAGTAGCCCATCGCTCAACCCGAAGCACCCCCGGAGCTTCTTGTGTGTGTATATATATGAGTCAGCCCCGACCCATCGTGGCCCCGTGCACAACAGAAGGTAACACTGCCCGGTCCTGTGCCGTCCTCACAGTGGTTCCCATGTCTGAGCCCATGGTTGCAGCCATTGTGTCCATCCATATCCTTCAGGGCCTTCCTCTTTATCACCACCCCTCTACTTTACTGAGCACGACGTCCATCCCCAGGGGCTGGTCTCTCCTGACAACATGTCCGAAGTATGTGAGACAAAGTCTCACCGTCCTTGCCTCTAAGGAGCACTCTGTCCATACTTCTTCCAAGACAGACTGGTTTGTCCTTTCAGCAGTCCCGGGAATTTCAATATTCTTCTCCAGCACCAGCATTCAAAGGAATCTATTCTTCTACGGCCTTCCTTTTCCAATGTCCAACTGTCGCATGCACAAGAGTCGATGGAGAAGGCCATGGCTGGGGTCAGGCACACCTTAGTTCTCAGAGTAACATCCTCGCTCTTCAATAATGCGAAGAAGTCTTGTGCAACATATTTTCCTGTGTTGCAGGTACATCTTTTGATCTGCTGCTTCCATGAGATTGATTGTGGATCCAAGTAAGACAAAATCCTTGACAACTTCAACCTTTTCTCCATTGATCACGACGTTACCTGCTGGTCCAGGTGCGAGGAGTCTGGTTTTCTTTACATTGAGTTGTTATCCACCCTGAAGGCCGCCATCCTTGATCTCTGTCAGCAGGTGCTTCAAGTGGTTTGCACTTGCAGTAAGCAAGGTTGTGTCATCTGCATACCGCAGGTTGTTCATAAGCCTCCCTCCAATCCTGATGGAGCACTCATCTTCGTCTTCTGACATTGTGCTCAGATTGAACAAGTATGGCGAGAGGATACAACCCTGTCACACACTTGCCCAATTATAAACCATGCGATATCCACCTGTTCTGTGTGAACAGAACA